ACGTTATCCAGTAAATGATACTGTTCTTGGTTGTATTGTGTTCTCTGAGCTGGGTTGTTTAATCATGAAGCTTTCATCGTCCTTCTAGATGATATCATCAGCACTATGAAGCGAGTTGTCAATATCTCTCCGTGAGTGTTTTAGTAGCTTGCCTTGACGAAGCGGTCAAGGCAGCTCAGAGAACACTATACAACCAAGACCATCCACTTGAGCTATAAATATTCTCCACTATTTCAAATGATATTGTTCCTTCACTGTGTGATATTTATGATAAACAGACTAAAATAGAATTGCAACCTACCACAGTGGTCAAGTTTTACTCCTATATTGATGGAATTAATAATGTTTCTTACATGATGTTCCAGTGATTTCAAGTTGAGATGTACATGATGTCTACGTAGAAACCTTCCAAACTACTTCGGATATTCATGACTAGTAATGCAGTCTTTCAGAAAACCGACCTTCCCACTTACAGTGCAATACAGAAACTCATTGAGTTCCTTAACTCTCGAAGGGTTTTTACTATTCTTCAAATTACTGAAAATACCCATCAGGAAATTAGAGAAAAGGAGAAGTTCAGCGAAGGTATCTTTTTTCGGCGATCTCATTCTCCAAAGCTGTGCATTCACAGTTTATTATTTTTATCTAACTATTTTGGGTAAAAAGAAATTTGCCAAAAATGGTGCGATTCCACCTTCTGTGTACTACAGAAGCTCTTGTCATATGCATAGGAAAACCGGAATTATATGTACAAAAAAAACTTGTTCAACCTTTATTGTTACCTTGGTCTTAGTAACATGCCAACAATGTATCAACCTCTGATTATTCACAATTTTTTCTTGAATTTTTCGAAATATTTTAATGACTCAATTTCTACATGCTATCCTTGGTCATGCTTTATCTTCAGAATTATTTGTGCATATTATGCAACTTTATATTCCACTCGATTAATTATGTTGGTCTCTATGGCCCTTTGTGACTAATTTTCACCTCGCATCACAATTGTGATTTTTCAAATATTTTCATCCAAACCGATCTTTGTTACTAAGCTTAATTAAATATTTCTTGTAACTATCCTAAACGGTTAAAGAAAAATGTATAATACTGGTGATAATTGAAGGTGAAGTGAAATTTTGGACCGGATTCAAACCAGCGATCACGTGGTTTCCGGCCCGGTACTCTACAAATTGCGATTGTACGACTAAATTCATACATTGAGTACCCGGATGTTCACAAGAAAACTATTTCACCACTTTGACTTTAACAGCCTTGGATACAATAATGCATTCACAAAGCCTTATATAATCCCTATACGAGGCAGACTAAATCACAGTGAGCGAACGGATGTGCTAAATCCTATCTGAAATGAATATCTGACCGATGATAGTGTATTGTAGGGCAATACCTTATGAAGTGATCTGGATATCAGTAATATCTAAATTTCTATGCATCGGCTTATCAAAAAGTCACTGGTTCACTGATGCTACATTTCTGAGCTGTGTCACGTAAGACATTTCCAAACACTTCATGTGTTGGTTCGAAAAAGCCACTAAAAAATGACAAAAGATTAACTTGTACCACCCAAAGAGATAGTCTAGAAACTATTGGTTCTAAATTGACTTCATCATCATCATCATCATCAATATCAACATAGGACCAAGCATTACTGCGTAACGGTCCGATTTGCCACACCTCATATCAGTACATGAAGTAGAAAGGTAGTGAGGTGAAGGATGAAGATAAGAGAATGTAGTCAAAAGAAATATAAAGTACGAGAAGAAAGAAAAGAGGAATGACAAAATGGTGAGATTTGGTATAGCGTCGTTAAGATGAGGATAATGTGTGTATAAATCTGCGCCACTGACATCGGTTCTGAGCCATATCCCCTAGAGTCTTAGTGCCTCTTTCACTTTTAACATTATTCATACCTACTTAATGAATGTCGGCCTTTTAGTGCGAATGTACTATGAGCCTATTATTATTATTTTATTTATTTTCCCCTTGGGTTCCTAGTGGACCATAGGGCTTCAGTAGCACGTCGCCATTGCACTCTGTTCTCTGCAGTTTTCAAAGCCTAGCTTAACGACTGCCCACAACATTTCATTTCTCCCTCACATGATCTCCTCCATATCACCCTCCTCTTGGACGCCCAACTCATCGTTTCCCCTTTGGGTCCGCTTCCTTCTGCATATTTGTTCAGCTATGCGTTTTTGGTTGGTTCGTTGCCAGCCAGCCAGCCAGCCAGCCAGCCAGCCAGCCAGCCAGCCAGCCAGCCAGCCAGCCAGCCAGCCAGCCAGCCAGCCAGCCAGCCAGCCAGCCAGCCAGCCAGCCAGCCAGCCAGCCAGCCAGCCAGCCAGCCAGCCAGCCAGCCAGCCAACCAACTAACCAACCAACCAACCAATAAACCAACCAGCCAGTCAAACTTCCTTGTTGCTTATTCTTATTATTCTGGCAATCCATCTGATCTTCAGTATCGAGTCAACGTAGGCAGCTGTTGATGAATGTCTATAGTTTGTTGGAAATGCTTTTCGTGACGCCCCAAGCTTCTGAAACATATAGCAGCAATCACTTGACATTGGTGTTGAAAATCCGGATCCTGTTCTTTGTGCAGAGTGGAGTGCAGTAGATCTCCACACTGATTTCAGATTAATGAAAGGCTGTCTTTCCGATCCTGGTTTTGACATAGTCATTTATACCGCCTGTAGCTGAAACGATGCTGCCTAGGTAGTTGAAAGAGGCTACTACCTTAAGGTTTCTTCCGTTGATGCTAATTGTTGTTGTTGGTGGTGGTTGGGTATCCTCATCACCTCCATCTTCCCTACATTCACTTGAAGTCCGGTTTTCCCTGCACTGCCTCTTCTGTCAACTTGTTAATTTTTACCTGTAGGTCTTCTAGTTTGTGCGACAAGACACTAGACACAAATCGTCATCGGTGGTGAAATCCAAATTTTCTAGGCTCTTTCATCGGTCCAACCAGCGTATGCCCATCTTCTCACTCCTCATGGCCTACTACATGATCCAGTCCACTACAATCAGGAATATCATGGGTGATAGTAGGCGGCAGCTTTGTCTTACTCCTGTTTTCACTTCAACAGCATCACTGAGCTTCCCATTGTGAATTACTTGGCTGGCATGTGACGTCTTCATATAGCCAGCTGTTAAATGAGGTTGATAAAGATTTGTGGCACTAAAACCGTAGTGTTGAAGCAGTTGCCTGTCAAATTACTTCTCGGTCGACGCTGTCGAAGGCCTTTTCAAAGTCGATGAAGTTTAGGTAGAGAGTTGAGTTGACTGCCATTCTATACTCTGTTCTATGATGATGCATGGCGTAGCGTCGTAATTTGGTCCTGAAGCCAACCAGCCAGCCAGTTCCGGTCGTAATTTTGAATCCAGTGCATCCTTTAGTCTTTCCAAGATGATGCGGCTTAATATTTTGCTTGGGGTGGAAAGCAGCATGATTCCCCTCCAGTTCTTACAAAGACTTAGGTCTCCGTTGTTCGGGAGTTTGAGAAAGTAGCCCTCCCTCCTTCCTTCCTTGCTTCCAAATCTTCTGCAGTAGTGGTGTGAGCATGTCTGCTGTTGTCTCTGCGTCTACTCTCGGTGCTACTGGTGGTGCTGCTTTCCCAAATTTCAGCCGCTTTATGGTATTCAGGACTTCTGCTTTTGTCAGAGGGTCTGGGTTCACTGGTGATTGTGCCGTTGCTGGTGGTATTTCTGGACAAGTTGCAGGTGGTGGTCGATTCAAGAGCTTTTTGAAGTGGTCGGCCCATTGTTTCCTTTGTTCCTCCACTTTGGTAACTAGCTTTCCTTCACTATCTCTCATTGGTTCCATCTGCGTTGATCTCTTCCCAGATAGTAACCTGGTTATTTGATATAATGTTGTCAGGTCTCTGTCTCTCCTACCAGCAGCCTATTCTGCTTCAGTTGTAAGTGCGTCGTAGAAGTATCTTTTGTCTCTCTGTGCACTCTTCTTCACTTCTTTGTCCAGTGTAGTGTTTTATAGGTTGTACTCAGTTCTTCTTTTTGTTGTGCATCCTTGCACTGGTTTATCTTCTGCTTCACCATCTTCCTCTCTCTCATCTATCATCTTCCATGTGTCCGTCGAGATCGATTCCTTGTCTTGTCTCCTCTTCCTTCCTAATTCGGTTATGTAGGTTTCCTTCCACATCTCTTTCAAATAGTTCAAGTGTTCTTCCACACAGGTTTCCTCAGGGATGTTGCTCCCATTTTGTTCTGGTGGCTGACGTGATGTGCTTTGTAGTTTTGTCCTTCAGTTTCTGTTCTGGCTGTTCAACTTGAACTGTGGTCTATCAGCTACTTCTCTGAAGACTTTCAACTTGATTTTGAGGTTAGGTTCCTTGCACTAGATGGTGGTGTGAGTGGTGTGAATCTACATCTGTTCCTCTTCTTGATCTGATCGTGTATCCAGTAGACTGCGTCTCCACTTTCTTCACATTGAGATGAAGTCGATCTGATTTTTAGTGTAGTGTGTCCTGGTGTCTGGTGAAATTCATGTCGCTGCCTTGTGAATATCCTTGTGTTTGTACACAGTGCCTCGGCTCCAATCACCAAATCGTTGAGTACGCAGAAGTCGGCAAACAGTTCTACATTCTTGTTCATTTCACCGAGTGCTTTTCGACAAATGGTTAGTTCTCTTCCTGTGTTGTCTGCTCCCAGTTTGGCATTCATGTCGCCCACTATGAGCCGAAGTTATTATTATTATTATTATTATTATTATTATTATTATTATTATTATTATTATTATTATTATTATTATTATTATTGGTAGAGCTATCAGTGCAACAGACGTCATCCGTCATCACTATTTTATAACTCCTAAGGTTGCACTCCACATGCCAAGCTGAAAAGTACACCTCCCCCTATCCAAAGATTCATGTGTTGGAATTACAAATATTGTGAACATTGATTGACTTGCCTTGACTGTCTTTTTTAGTTGTGCATGTACATATACTGAAGACTTCTTCTTTTATTTACCCTAGGATGCTCGTTATCTAGAAGAAGAAAGTCGCTATCTAGAGAATATTAAAAAATCTTTGGAAAATACCGCTTGATTAGAAAGAAAGTAAATGAATGCAAGAATTAAAGCGGCAAATAAACACTGGAAGTTGATAAAAAGAGATTAGGACAGCACTTTCCGCTTTATATTTAAAGATGTATTTTGTGACTCCATGTTTTTGGGTTTTATTTTCTTGTCTTCTTTTTATCCACCTATCCTTTGTTTTGCTGTCGATTGGTCAGTTTCTAGAGAGTATTTCTTTGTTTTCATATCAAGTCGCGTTTTTGTATTTCCTTACTTATCGACTTGTTTTTCTGACGAGTTATTCGGCTATATGTGTATATATGTGTGTGCACCTCCCTATCAGTCTGCCTGCCTGCCTGTGCTAGAATACACCAACTTATATGTACCGATTCAAATGTATGGGGATGTATATCCACCGGTTAGGATTACAGTTAACGTGGTTTCTTATAGATTTTAGCTTTGCATCTGTTTATCTATTAATATTCCTATGTACCTTAGGTTTATTATTGATACACAACAGCTGACCAATACATATCTCCTAGAGAAGTTCGAATTTCTTTCATTCATATATATATGCGACTTTACAAGTGTATATATCTGTGTATTTGTGAGTACTGTACTTACTCAAGCTAAGAATAGATGTGTTGTGGAGTTAATCTGTATATATTTTTCTCTAAACACATGTTTATTTCAACTGAAGTAACTAGCTTTTTTCAAATGGATAATGAACCTTCATTTTTGAAGTTGATCCATAGAAATTTATTAGGATTTTACATTTCACTCTTACAACCTTCGAATTGAACCTGAATTCAAAGGAGTTTTTATCACAGATTGGCGTCAACCTAAAATCTCGGATCACTGAACACTTCTTTCGTCATACTTCAAGACTCCTCAGCATTCTACACCCCATGATCCTATTTGGGATGGAACCATTATCATCGGGTCATTTACCATTCAGCCACGAGGTTCATTTCCTCCAATTTCTCTCAGTTGATGATGTCGCACGCCTAACGTCCAGTGCCGTTGACGAGTGCTTGTTTTTGAACCTGACTAGAAATACCTGTGCGCTGAAGAAGCTGAACCACCAATAAATAGATACAATTCTCATCATCAAATATATTACCATCCTCGTAATACATGGACTTTAAATCACGATTTTCTACATGAAATATTCAGTTACTATTTTGTAACTAACCCATCGTTATCAGCATCAGCGATCAATCATGTACCAAATCCGCAGTGATTATTGACATCATTTTTTTTAGATACTTTCACGCATGGTTTTGACATTCATTTCCGAAAAGTACACTAACTGTATAATCTCTTCAGGAGAATATATATTGAACGTCTTTTTTTAATATTTGACAATTTAAGTAAAAACAGTGATGGGAAATGAAGCGGATTGCATACAGATTGATCATCAGTCAGTAACCGATGTAGCTGCCTTTTCCTAAGTACTCAGCACTGATTAAAATCTCTCGATCACGTTTGCACTCGGGCTACTAAGCTAAGTGACCCGTCACTTTTTTTATCTAGTGTTAGACGCTGGGAGTCAGTCAGTAAGAAGCTCTGCATCGGTAGTCCTTAGCAAGCTCTATCTGCAACTACAAGGAGGCTTGTCTTCTCTGAGTGATTCACACCATAATCACTCAGTGCCAAGCTAAGAAGCTTTGTGGTAAAGATATTCAGACTGTTTCTGTGAACAGTTGGGGAGGGAGATAAACTGAAACTCGCTTTGTAGACCCAGTTAATTTAAGATCATACTGGCAGTCTCACGAATAGTGTATTGTGTGTTCGAATTCTGCTCCACTTGCCAAAGTTTGGGCACTCTGGTAGGTAGTATCAATAGGTGTAGCTCATTGTCTACTGCATGGATGTGCGTGCACAATGTGGCTGAATCCGCTCCGTATAGCGTTAAGGACGAATTACTTTTAAATAAGAACTGCAATATTGACTGAATAGTTGGCTGACGTTTGAATTCTTTTTAAGTTTCTTTCCTCAGTGACACACCTGTATATGGTTAAACGCCATTTTCACTTTGGTGTTCAGAATACCTTGTTTAGCAGTCAAACAATGCCATAATTTATACCGTCAAATGTATTGTTCCACTGGACAGTTATAATTAACCTATTTTCGATGTTAATATTTACAAGCTAGAACAATGCAAGAACAAAGACATTTACGGAATAAAATGAGCTCATCCTATTTCACAACCTTTCATCAGCTAACTGCAAAAGCTTACAGTTGAAGTCAAATATTAGTAGTAATAATAACACAAAAAAAATAAATGGAGATCTGAAATCCGGGATTAACAATATGGTAGTAAGTCGAGGAAACACAGACTTAATAATCACAAATCTTAGTCGAAATCAATGACAGTTTATGCGAGTTTGATGAGATATAAGATTGTGGAGCTGTGTAGTGGGGGCGGGAAGGGGATAACAAACGAAAATCAGTGTAAACGAAGAGACCGTTTAAGAGCTAATAGGTTACTCAATTACATGAAAAGCTAAGAAATCGTTAGGCTGAGTGACTACCAGTCAGCAAGTAATTAATGAAGAGATAGGTACAGTCGACAAAAAAAGGAAAGCCATGATCACACATATGCCAAACTTATATGCAGTTGCCAGGGTAAAGAAAGGTTAATTACAGTCTCTTTCTGAGTACATAGGTCAGGTTCAAAATGTTTGATGATGATAGCTTCTACCAACCATAATGAGCGTGACGTTCTTTATTGATTATCCTGAATGATTGAGAAACATCTATTTGATGTCCTATTTCCATCGGGTGCTTGGATATTACACTGGTAAAGCCCATACTACCTTTCCACACACAGATTTCTCCGAATATGCCCATAAAACCAAGTAGATGCTCTACTTTCTATCCTTTCTTCGTAATCGCTTCCATAAATACAAGTGAATTGATACACACAATTAGAAGTGTGGTGAGCTGGGTTTTGTCTACTTTCGACTGTTAGTGAGCATACTGTATTGTAAACCAATATCAGTCTGGCAGTAGAGAAGCTTTTACAATTCTATCTATTTGTTGCCACCTTCCCTTTCCACAACCATAGAATTTTCTATCTCATCAAACGTGTATAAATTGTCATTGAGTTTGACTAAGATTTGTGATTATTAAGCTTATGTTTCCACGATTCTTTCACTACCTTATTGTTAAAACTGTATATCAAATCTGCATTTATCTCCAAATATTTAGAGTATGCTATGTTACTGTTACTACTAGTAATAATTCACTTCAGTTATAGGCTGTTTGCAGCTAACTGATGAAAGGCTGTGAAATAAAATGTAATAAATACTTTTGCACCGAAGGAATTTTACATTTCCAATGAACTGAATTTTAAAACTATTCGTGAACGTATAACATAAAACTGAAGATTCTGTTGTCAGGAATTCAAAGACAAATAAAAATGAATCATTGCCACTGGCGCTTTCACCAAATGGATGTATACTATGCCTGACGTTGTCAAACACATGGAAGCGTGTGAACTAGTAACTGCAAACATATACGACATCAACTTGTCTTTGGAATAATCTCTAACTTTTTTTGCAGCAGGTAAGAAAAAATGTGTAAATTAGCAGCGATAAAGCTTGTACCTCAAGCATTTGATAACCTTTCCAGAAAAATATCTTCAGTAGCACTGTCCTTGAACAGGAGGTCCGACCGAAGTATCTTTCTCATGGCCATACCGACTTTTTGTTTTATTCATAAATACAGATAAGAATCCTTTTTTTATATATTAGAAATGTCAGTCTTAGTGAGTTACAACTGTTCAATAATTTTTGGGCATTAATTAGATGATCTAATCACTAGATTCTGTAATAATTATGAGCTTTCCTTATCTCCTTTTCATTAATTTATTGCAGTCTTGTTCATTAACCCACTTCTGTTACATTCTTTAAGAAAGATTTTATCTTACTTGGCTGTTTATCATTTTCAGAATAAAATAATTAATGGAACCGATTGATAACAGTTTTTTTTCACAAATGATACCCTAGCAACATCCATCTCAATAAAGGAAATGATTCTTATGCACTTAGTTGGAAATAATGTCTTTTAATTAGGTAACTAAAACAAACATAAACTTGATTTATATAAGTGAAGTATAAAACTTATGCACCGTAGTAGAATGTAATTCCATGTTCATTTGATATACCACACAGCGATGCCGTATCATTTACTTGGTGATGTTTCGAGCATAAATTATTGCTCTTAAGCATATCAATCATATCTCATTGATATTGGTTATGAGCAATAGCAACTTATGCTCGAAACGTCATTAAGTAAATAATACTATAGCACTGTGTGTTATCAATCAAATAAACCGAATATCGAATGGAATTCTACTACACTGCACAAGTGTATCCCGATGTGCTACATTAAATAAACAAATCCAACATAGAAACCTGATTGGTTATTTCATTAGTTACTGAGGCTGTCTTCAAACTCATTCTTCATTGCATAATTTATCTGTCTTGTGTCGTTTCTTGACGTTTGCTTTTCTACATTTTGTATTCAGTGTCTCTCACTGAAAGGTGTGCTGAACAAGCGAATGACTCTGTTGATGGTTCCATACTCCAACACCCGTGGGTGTACAAATGCATATAAAATTAGTAACAGATGAGTTGTGTACGTCAAGTGATATCCGTCAAAGGTGTCCATTCTCTCCATCCTTATGTAAGTTTCTTGTAGAAGTATTGATGGAGATCTCCTTTTCTTCAACTCACTTTATAGGGAACTAACTTATTACAGGAGACTGCTTAGTGGATCTAGAGTAAATAGCTAATGTAGTCGTGTTACACGATGCAAAGTCTTTTGGAGATGGTAAGTGGCAACCTTAGAATGTTTGGGATGTGTTACCCACTATCTGGATGCATACTGCTATTTCAGGATTTCCCTTCAGTGCTACCCCGACTAACCATAGGGAACGAAGCTGTTGAGTGCTTTGACCACTTCACTCTGTTGCGGATTCGGATCAGCCGGGGTGGGTCAATAACAGATGAAATCTTTGCA